GGCCTGATGCCTTTTTGGTGTCAGCAAGCAGACCGCCCCTCCTGTTCACTGATGGTGTCCCTAAGACACTGCCCAGGTAGCAGCAGCCAGTGCTGGGGGGTCGGGGGGCGCCGGGCGTGGCAGCCCAGGAGGTCTTGGCGATGGTCTGAATTTCACGCTGACACTTTCTAGAGAGACAGATCCCTGGTGAGCAAACCTGTGGTCTGTGCATCCCTGTGTGTTGGGGCCGGGCATCTTACGTGTGCGACTCTTCCTGCACGTGGGAGAACCACTTGGTTCAGGCATATGCTGGCCCCACGCCCCCCAGAGCAGTGCCCACGTGACCCCGACAGGGTCATCTTTGATGTCAGGCTGGGATCTGGTGAGTTCCTGCGGCTTCCCAGAGCCCACAGGGCCTCCCTGTAGACGCCAGCCACTCGCTCCCTTGGCCTCCAGCCTCATTAGCGGTAACTCTGCTTGCTTCTGTTCCCTAAAATAGGGCCCTAGCTGGGAGAGAGTTCAGAAATGGACTCAGTGTGCCCCCTCTCCTTGGCCAGATTTCAGATTCGGGGGTAGAGAACAGGGGACTCCAGGGACTGGCTGCCTTCCTATGAAAATCTGATGTTGGAATGGCGGTGGTGTTGGGGGTTGGGGAGGGGCGGCAGGAAGAAAGGAACTGGAGACGCTGGGCTGAGCCAGCCAGGGGTCTGTGAGGCGGGGCGCCTGGTTGGGAGGAGACCCACCTGGCTGGCGCCCTGAGCTGTCGCAGGGCCAGAGGCTGGTGTGGCCGAGGAAGTGTCTGTCTGGTAGTTGTGGGGACGGGTGGCTGTCCAGAAGGGGCCAAGACTGGCACAGTGTCTACAATGTTGGAAAGAGCCTTGGGGCTGAGGCTCCCCTCTTCCTTGCCTGATTATTGGGGCTGCCCTGCCCGGCTGCCTCCCGTGACACAGCCTTGCGTGGTGGGAACGCAGCGCGAGGCTGTGAGTGCGTTCTCTTCCACCCCATTAGCCACCCTGTGACTGCCAGCTTCCCACCTGCCCATAACAACGCCAGACCCACAGGGGGCACCTCTGGGAGATAAACCAACGAGCACAAGTGAGGCCATTCTCTGGGTAGCCTGAGTCTCAAGCACAGTTTCCTTAGCCCTATCTATTCTGTTAAGGCCAGAAGATCCAATTCTGGGTCTTTGGGGACTTGAGTCATACAGATGTCCGCCTGAAGTCTGGCCAAGAACTGGAAATGTGGCAAGAAGGGGGCCCATTGGAGAAGGATGAAATGCTGTTTGCCTGGTGTCCTTGCTTTTGTGAGTGGCTTAGAGAGTGCGGGATCAGGGACATGTTCTCTGCAACAAGAAAAAAAATATCTCATTTTGAGACTTTCAGAGCCGGACTTTGCGCCAGGCTAGCCAAGCTGGGGGCATGAGCTACTACTGAGCCCCACTCCTCCTGCCCACTGCTCCCCAGCACAACGGAGGCCGCCTCGGAGAGAGTGACGGGCTCTGGCCTGCAGGGGATCTGGGTTCAGGGTGGAGGCCAGCGGGTCGCAGGAGGCCAGCTGTTCCAGGCCGGAGGCTGGCCCACACCTGCCTCGGGCTGGTCTCTGCTCCTACGCCGCGTGCACACACAGGCAGATGCATGCACACCACTCAGCATCTCTCACACGATCCAGACTTCCTCCTGGGGAGGTGCTGGCCACTGGAGACTAGGTGAGGGTTAAACTCCTGGGCACCTTTATGTGCCTATTCACCGGGACGTGCCGGGGGAAGAGCATACACACCAGATTCTGAAAACTTAGTACAAAAAATAAAAAGGAAAGTATCTCAATAATTTTGTTTGTCAATTACATGTTGAAAGGATAACATTTTGGATATAGAGGTGAAATGAAATAGTAAAATTAATTCTTAAACTTAAAAAATGCAGCTACTTGAACATTTTAAATTACATATGCAGCTGGCATTGTACTTCTGTTGTGGAGCTCTGAGTTAGAGAATTTGGAGTTCAAAGGGAAAAGTTTGAAAAGTCTGGAGAAGGTGGGGTACTTCCCCCCGACCCCACCTCTAGACCTGTCTGGACAGAGTTTTCAAATTAGGATCCCAGAATTTAGTCTCAGTGACTTGGGAGTTGGAGGATTTTTAAACATTCTGTTTTCAATTTAATGATCTTTTAAAAAATCTCTTACAGAGCCCTGGCTGGTGTGGCTCAGTGGATTGAGTACCAGCCTGCAAACCAAAGGGTCACGGGTTCGATTCCCAGTCAGGGCACCTGCTTGGGTTGCAGGCCAGGTCCCCTGTTGGGGGGCATGCAAGAGGCAACTGACCACTGTATCTCTCACACATTGATGTTTCTCTCCATTTCTCTCTTCCCCTCTTTCTAGAGATAAATAAACAAAATCTTTAAAAAAAAATCTCTTGCAGACAATTTTTGATTAGAAGGCACTCTCATAGTATAAGATTTTCATTTCTAAAGTCAATGTTTTTTAAACTGGAATCCTCAGCAGACATTTTCACAGGAAATAAGATAACAGGTCCATACTCCACCCAAGTTTGAGAGATTATGTTCTCAGGCCTCCTGCTTCCGGGACGGGGCTGTGGTAATCTGTCCCTCTATCTTCCCATACTCTCCACCTCTCCCCTTTGCCTCCAACCCCATCAGCACCGCATGGTCTTTCACCACTGCCCCCCACAAATCCAGGGAGGGGCAACACCTGGGAGATGCCTGGGGGTGGGGGTTACTGAAAGGGATGCCTTTTTTTCATTTTTTTTTAAAGATTTTTATTTATTTTTCACAGAGAGGGAAGGAGAGGGAAACATTGATGTGTGAGAGAAACATTGATCAGTTGCCTCTCACACATGGGCACATGCCCTGCCTGGGGACCCACCTGCAATCCAGGCATGTGCACTGGCAGGGAATCAAACCAGCAACCTTTTGGTTCACAGGCTGGCATGTAACCGCTGAGCCACACCACCCAGGGCTCACCTTCTTCCTGACACTTCGGGAACTTTCCCTAACATTCCTAAGGATACTAGTAGTGCGAAGTTGGGAGGTCCTTCTTGCCTTCGTCAACTTTTAATACAACTTCGGAAGCTCACACTCCGTGGGTGTATTGAGAGAATGATCTGGAGGGGAGGTGAGGCAGCCTTTTTTTAAAAAAAAAATTGATGTTAGACAGAGAGAGGAAGGTGGAGGAGAGAAAGAAACATTGGTTTGTTCCACTTATTTCTGCATTCATTCGTTAATTCTTGTATGTGCCTTGACCTGGGATTGAACCACAACCTTGGCGTATCAGAATGACACTCTAAGCAGCGGAGCTACCCAGCCACGGCTGAGCAGGCTTTGATTTAAAAGTTACGCCATCAAGAGCTAGTCACCACCCAGGGGGCCACCCCAGCCGCACCAGGGCTTGAATGAGACCATTAGAGGCAGTAGGAACTGACAAGACAATTTATGACTTACCACCACCATGCGTAATGCGCAAGAAAACTATCCTAATCCATAAGACGAGAATAAAGGGGTTCATGAAAGTTCTAATTGCTCATATAGTGACTTCTGTGATGCACTTTTGAAAATACCAAGATAATGGGGGGTGTGTGTGTGTGTGTGTGTGTGTGTGTGTGAAGCACTTTGGAAACCGAGCATTCCCCCCTCAACTCTTCCACAGTTACTCTTCGGGCCCCACTGGGAAATGCCACCATGGAGGGACCGTTAAGCAGGGACTAGAACAGTAGGAAGGGTCTGTGTGGAGGGGGGAGGAGGGAGAAGATGAAGGCTCCACCCCTTCCCATTGACCCGGAGAGCCCCTCTGCTCTTGCCCTGATCCTGGCCATCGTCTGTCCTCCAAGAGCCCTTGAACATGGAGTAGCTGGGATATCCAGTGTCTGGGGTCTTCTCACGCCTATTGGCTTATTCTCCCGCACAGCTCCAGTGAGCTTCGGGGCAGAACTCTTTGACAGCTCCTTTCAAGTCTGTCCCCAGCCCCTGCCTTCTCTGTTACTGTCCAGTGCAGAGGCCCACCACCCGAAAGAAGTCCCAGGCCTGTACCTCCGGCCTTCCCAGGTCCACCAGTAGAAGCAAAGAAGGGAAGCCCTTGGCCTCATCCCTGGGCAGGCAAGAGTTTTGGTGGAGGGGCTCATTAAAGGGTTTGAATAAGCAATTAACTCAAGGGATGAGCCCACTGGCAGGTCTGGAGCTCCCTCCTCCCGGCAGGGAGCCTGGCAGAGAAGGCCGAGTGGGTGGGCCGAGTGGGTTCTGACAGCTGGCTGGGGGCCTCTTTCCTCCTCCCCTAAATACAAACTAATAAATAAACAGAGCTCCAAGTGGGCAGAAAGGCTGAGGCCCAGGGGGTTGGGGGAGCCCAGGGCCCTATCGGTTTTCTGTTAAGGCTACAGTACAGACAGGTTTAGGGAGGCAAAGGCACTCAGGCCCCCTGATTCGGGGCCCTTTCAGGGCTGGAATGTCCCCTTCCAGTGGGGTCCTCAGCTCACAGAGAAAGTGTCAGAGACCCCAAGGAGAGGCAGCCCCTCCCATCTGCCTCCCCACCTGCCGGGCTCACTGTTCCACCGGCCGGAGCCCTGACCCAGGCCAGGCCATTCCCCCAACCTCTGTCCTCAGGATGCTGGGCTGAGGGCTTGAGCTAGACAGGGCTGGGGGGTGCGGGGGATGGCAGGGGGCGCTGTGGGCGGCACCCTGAGGTTCCAAGGTGTGAGGGAGCATTGCAGCTTTACACCTCTGCAGCCCACCTGCACACAGAGCCCTGAGTCAGAGCCCCACCGTGGAGGCACCCAGGGCAGGTGAGATGTCTGACCCGGGACTCAGTGGGTTGACCAGTCTGCCTGCACCATTTTCTGGCTCCTCCCTACAGTCTCCTGGAGCTGGTGGCGGGTCTGCTGCCCCGTACCACTTCCGGCAGCGCCATTTGTACAGAATGCAACACGGCTGTCGTGGTGAAACTGGCTCCCGACTCCGCTGATACTTTCCAGCCCGGAACAGCACAGTCTCTTATCTGTGTTCTCCCTCTTCCTTCAGGCTCCTGAGCAACAACAAGATCACTGGGCTCCGAAATGGATCCTTCTTGGGACTGTCCCTGCTGGAGAAGTTGTAAGTGCTGGGGAAAGGTGGGGCGGAGGAGGGGATGCAGATTGTGGGCACAGGCTCAGTCCAGGGAGGACGAGGAACACTGGTTCCTAAGGGACCTCACAACCCAGAACCTGCTGGCCAAGAGTCGGACCCACGGGGACCCTGCCCAGGACTTGACCACCAGGTGGAAGGCAGAGAGGGGTTCATCTGAGAGACTAGCTCCTTCACCAGTCACAGCAGAGAGGAGTGAAGAAGCCTGGCTGGTCAAGGCAGGGATGGGGCTAGAGGAAGCTCATTAATGTTCTTTAATGAGCAATTAGCTATGAGGCCTGAGCCCCTGAGTTGGCCAGAAGCCTCTGCCTCCTCCCAGCTGGGGGCCCAGCATAAAGAAAGGGCCAAGAGAGGATTTGGTGTGACTGAGACCCCTTTCCTCCTCCCCTAAAAACAAATCAACAATCAGAGTCCCCAGGGGCCAGAGCCCTGGCCTGCGGGCGGGGATACTGATCACAGAGAAATCCACCCCCCTCCCAGTTTAGAGCTGCCCTGCAGACCCGGCAGGCTGGCAGCGGCCTCAGGAGGGCCCTACTGGCCCCAGAGACCTCTCTTACCCTGCCAAATGGGGGGACTGAACCAACCCCCTCTCCATCTCCTATTGAGCTGCCATGCTCCAGGATCCTTCACAGAAGATCCTGGGCTTCCCGTTCTTCCTGGAGACTGAACCCTTCCATCTGCCCCTCCTCCAGACCCCCTCTCTCCCATCTCTGGTCCCATGCCTCTGGGCATTCCCAGTCCTCCAACAGCGCCCCTGCCCCCTCTAGTACCATTTTGCCCAAAAGACTTGGGTCAGTGTGATGGAGGATACAAGAGAGTAAGGCGGAAGCTTGTTCTCAAAGAGCAAAAGAGATTACTTTCACCCACGCTATTGGAGACCACAGATAATGCCATATATGTTAGAATTAGGTAGGATGGGCTTTCTGTGAAGTCCAAAGGAAGGGTCAGCAAAGGCTGGACACTTCAAGGGGAAGAGAGAGCCAGTGTCTGCGTGACAAGGGGTTTAGATCTTGAACCACAACAACCGTATGAGGTTGTCTCTGTTTCACCCCCTCCCACCCCGTGAGGTGGGGAAAGACTGATGGCCTGCTTGGTGAGTGGGGGTGGGAAGGCTGAGCATGTTGTCTGATCGGGGGCATCCTGGGGGTCTGAGGGGGTCTTGGGATGTTGACTTTGGTGCATGCGCACAGCACTGTGACCAAGTTCCTCTGATCATCGGCCCCACAGCTCACAGGCAGGGTGATCCAGGCAAGGAGGAAGAGTGGCCACCAAGCTGCTATTTAAACGTCTCCTTGGGAACCAGCAAACAGGGCAGGTTTTATCCTCCCAGAGCAGTTGGCATTCGGGGAGCTCCAATTCCTATGCTCAGCCCAGGCTTGGTCTTAGAGGGCTGAGTGGCCGGAAACCAGACTCTCCTTCTAGGATCTTTTGGAGGAAGGCAAACCGCAGCTGCCTCGCCAGCTCTTTGCTTTGCCCCGCAAGGGCCAGTCACTGCCCAGAGATGCTCTCCCTTCTCCTTAGCACCAGCAGGTGCCGCTCAGAGGCCCTCATGGCCGCACTGACATCTTCCCACTTTCACCCTCTCGCTTTGTCAGTCAGGGCCGCCTGGCTCTGTCCCCTTCTCATCCTTCAATCTCATGAGGGGAGCTCTCCTGATGAAGATGAAAAAGACAGCCCTTTTCTTCCCATCCACGCCAACGTACTGAATCGGACTCCTCTTCCCAGCACTGTGACCCTGGTCACCACACAGCAGATGCATGCAACGCATGGGAGGCCATCGGAAAAGTGGGAGGAGAGTCAAAGAACAATGACTAAATCCTGTGTCATGTGAGGTGGAAGGGGAGCGGGGCAGGAGAAAGAGCACACGAGTGGGAATTCAAGGTCCTAAGTTGGAGCCCCGGCTCTGTTAGGAAGCATTCTAGTCATTCATTTTAGAGAAATTTAATGAGCCCCTTTATTGTATTTTATTTTCGCGTATAGATCATAAGTCTCCTTTATCTATGTATGTGCCAAGCTCTGTTCTAGGCATTGGGAGTGAACACAGTAGGCAAGTGCCCGCCCTCTTGGAACTTACCCTCTACTGATGGGACCCAGAAAATAGCAAATAAATGTATAACATGTCAGGAGATAATAAGGGCTACAAAGAAAAGCAAAGCAGGGGAAGGGGGGTAGAAAGCAATGGGGGGGGTGCTATTTTATTTAGTGAGGTCGAGGAAGGCCTCACTGACAAGGTGACAGCCTGTGGCCTCAAGGGATGGACTAACTGGGAGGAATCTGGAGGGTGGAGAGGGCAGCGCTTGGCAAGGGCCTGGGGTCCAAAGTGCGTCTGGTGAGTCTGAGGAACACAGGGCAGGGTGGCTGGGAAGTGGTCAGAGATGAGGTCAGAGACTTGCAGGGGTGGATGCCAGGTTAGGGCCTGTTTTTTCCTCTGTAAAAAGGGGAGTGGGGACAGGGTGATTTGCAAGGTGCATTATGGATTAAAAATGCTATGATCCTGTGTGTGTGTGTGTGTGCGCGCGCGCCCGCGTGTATGTGCACTTTCCACAAGTGATGCATGGGAAGGAAAAGATCAAAGATCAGAGTGATGTGGCCGGTCATTCTGAAGGAGAGGAGGCCGCTGAGCAGAGGGAGGCACTGTGTTCGGCAGGTGCCCGCACTTCTCAGCGACAGAGAGGCCGTGCAGGGGCTGGAGGAGCCAGGGTCTCCGGTCTGGTTGGTCACTACCGTATCAGTCAGCATTTCCAGAGAAACGGTCAATCGGGGGCGGGGAGGGTGTACATGTGTGTATCTTTATATAACATATGAAGAAATTCTTTTATTTCTTTATGAAGAAGTTCATTTGAAGGCAATGACTCACATGATATGGGGGCTGGCAAATCCAAAATCTGTAGAGCAGACTCGCAGGCTAAAAAGTCAGGCAGCAGTTGATGCTGCAGTCTTGAGACAGAATTTCTTAAAGCCTTTGTCTGATTGGATGAGGCCCACCCATATTATCAAGGTTAATCTCCTATATTTCAAGTCAACTGGTCGTTGATGTTAACCACATCTACAAAATGCATACACAACACTAGATTAGTGTTTGACTAGGTTACCTGGTGCTACAGCCTGGCCTAGGGGACACACAAAACTAATCCCCACACTACCCCGCTGTCCCAGAGGTGGGAGGGACCCTGCGCCCCCGTTCCTAGAGCTGCCACTTCATCAGGTTGGAAGAGGCCTGGGAATTGTTTCCAAGGTATGCAGGCGATTCTCATGTTCATCTGGGGTTGGGAACCAGTGGACCAGATGACCCCTAGACTGTGGGCCCATTCATGACGAATGGGACGCCATGGCCTGGGCGCGCAGTCGGTGCCAGGAAACACTGATCCCTCTGTCCTGTCGGGCTGAGACGTCTGGGCTTGGGCAGCTGAGCCCGTGGCAGCTTAACATCCCACAGTCCAGAGCAGCAAGTCCCGTGGGAGGGTTGGGGCTCAGTCTAATAACTGAAGGGGTAGGCCTGCCCTGCTCTAGGAAATGTTGGCATTGCCTCCCTGTGCTGAGCACCCCTCTGGCCCCCGAGAATGGGTCCAGGGTAAGCATGTATGGGGGCGGGGTGGGGGAGAGAAGCGGGTGGGGCTGGGGGGAAAAGGTCTGGATGGTTCCTGTTTTGCAATGCAGGACCCTGAGACTGGGGAGGGGACAGAAAGGGCAGGAGCGGGAATGTGCCTGAGTTGAATCCATAGAGTACCCATGCTCCAGAGAGGTTGCAGGGAGAGTGGGGATGCAGGGGACACGCCTTTATCAACCAGGTGGGATGGACAAGAGAACCTGAAAGAGGGTCCTGCAGAGGCAGTGCGTGGCCGGCGGGAGGAGTGTGCAGCAGGGCCCAGCCGGGGGTGAGGGTCTCCTCTCTGCATCCTACCACCCCTCAGTGTGGACAAACCTGTTTGTTGCCCAGAGGAAAGACTTCTGAGGAGGGGGGGCAGGCTATGAAGGGGCACCGAGCTTACTCTGCAGTATAAAGCAGCCTGGGATTGAGTCCTGCCTCTGCCATTTACCTTTTGGGTGCCTGTCCAAGGCTCCGGTTTCTCACCTGGAAAACGGGGCAAGGCATGACCCCCTGACAAGTTGTCATGGGAATGGATGAGTTCCTCTAGGAAGACAGCCCCAGACAGCCTGGGTTTTCAGTCAGTAAATGGCTGCTTCCTTCTTCTCGGAAGAGTTCCAAGTTGCATGATGCTAAACGCCCCCTCACTGCGTAGGCTTTGTCCAGAGTCCCCAGCCTTGAACAGGCAGTCACGTAGATGAAATGGATGCGCCGAAAGTACCCGGGGCTAGCTCGTATTCCCCTGGGGCTCCGCTTCTCCGCCCAGACCCCCCACCCACGCGCACTCAACAGGGAGCGGGCCACCAGAAGACTTCCCAGGGCTCGGACAGTGCCCCAGTCATAGTGAGAAGCCCCACCCGGGACCAAGTGCGCCACGGGCAGGCAACCCCCGGAAGAGGCCGCGGGAGCGAGGCGGGCCTGGGAGGGAGCGAGTGGGTCTGTGTGGACACCGCCCCCAGAGGCTGCGCGCCTGGAGGAAAGAGCCCGGGGCGGGGAGGCTGCTCAGCCCCAGGATGATTTGTCATTGCCTAATGAGATTAATAAGGCGGGGGTGGGGGGGGAGCTGGTATGCAGGGGGATGGGGCACTCATTAGAAGCAGATGGTCATGGGAATGGTGGCAAGTGGGGGCCGCGGGGGGGTGGGGGTGGAGTGCTGCTCACCCGCCAGGTGGTTTCTATTAATATGTAGGCGGGGCCAAGGGGGCTGGGTCCCTCCTCCCCTTCCCAGCGCGCCTGACGATGGGGAGGAATGTGCCGGAGAGGCTGCCGAAGGCTCTGGCTCAGCTGAAGGCCGCCAGAAGGGAGGCTGATGGGTTCGGGGACAGCCCTCTTGCTTGCTCTTGTAGCTCCAATGCCTGGCACAGGGTATGTGCTCAATAAATAC